ATAGGGCTCTGGGGTGTTACTTATTAGTGTAGAAATTGCAGCTTTGTTCCTCCACCTGTCAGAGTGTCCTTAGGAGCCTCAGAGCGTGCATCTCCTTTTGTCCAACTCACAAAGACACAGCACTTTACCTGGATCCTGGAGAGGACCGTCTCTCCTCAATGCCTCTGGAATTGTCTTCCTCTCACCCCCAGGAATAGGTTTCTGAGAAGATTTCTAAGGAGCGTAGGGTTCAGGTTGGAGATCTCTGTGCTTTTTAAAAATTGCTCTTATAGTCTCTTGGATAATTTTGCTGGCCTAGAGTATTAGGAGCTTAAATATATGTCCCATCTTTCATGAATATGTCTGCTGAATGAGCTAAACTGAGCTGACTGTGTTTTCCCTTGGATAGGCTTTGCATGGAGGAATAGGCTTTCCTGCTCCAGTTTCTTCAACAGCTATTGGAGGTACTGAGGTAGCTACAAGTGGTAGGTGCTATGTTCATATTGTCTTTAGCTACGGCTTTATTTCGCCCATTGCCTTATCTCCTTAGCCCTAACCTTCCTCCTTGAAGGTGTCTGAACCCAGTCACATGCCACGGGTGCAGTTTCTAAATCTTGCCTTTTTCGTGCTAACTTTCCTCCCTTTGCTTAGGGGGCACACGCTGAAAACCGCTCGATGGGTCCTCTTCTTTGGCCGCAGTTGTGCTCCCTCAGAAAGCCCCGTGCTAACCTGTCTGTTTTGTTTTGACAAAGGAGATTCTTAGTCATTGAGCAACGATGAGTCCTCATTAGGAATCACCTGAGCGCCGTGATTCACAGCCCTGCGTGAATCCCAGGCCTGGAGCTCCCAGCCTCTGTCCGGCTGACCCTTCCCTGTGCCCCGGCGCCTCCACGTTGACATTGGCGCAGTGGAAAATGTGCTGGCTTCCTCTCTGAACTGGTTCTGCCTCCCTGCACCCGGCACTGTGCTCCTGCCTTACCCCGCTCAGCTCAAAGGTCCTGTTTACAGTACACAGAGGGAGACCCGGGCAAGCCAAATATTTGGCTTTCAGCCTGATAACTTATCAGTTATTTCCTCCTGAAAACTGGCTTTGGGAGTGAAAAAGCACTCAAGTGTTGTGACGTGGGAGCTTCTGTGAAGTTTTGCAGCGTCTCAGCTTTCGCTGCAGCAGATGTGACAGCACCAGCGGGCTGGCCTCATGATCGCAGCACAGCTGCACTTATAGCTGCTCCTGGACTCTCTTGATATTGCATTGTGTTGGGTAAATCGGTTACTGAATGGCATCTAAGTTTCCTGTTAAATGTCCCTTTCTAAAAAAAAAAAAAAAAAATGAAGGAACAAGATTTTCACTGAGCCCAGGAAAGCTGCCAAGTTCTTGGACAGCCCTTTGCCCTTGCCCATGGGAAGCACTAACGTCGGGTCCTATTCAGGCAGCACCTGGAGTCCTGCCCCAGCGTAGGTGCCCTTGTGAAGGGGAATAACGTGGTGGTCCCAGTGACAGGGGGTTAGGTCCATGGTATACAGGTGACAGGGGAGCTGTCAGCTGCTTGGAGGCAGGGCTGCCTTTGGGGCCTCTCTGCTGTTTCCCACAACAAGGAAGGCAGAGCAGTGACACGGGCTTCTTCAGCGCTCCTTGACTCATCCCTTTCCTGTGTTACTTAACAGTTCTTCATGCTTTTGGGGTTGGTTAGGGTTGCAGTGAGAGGCCTGTGGTCTTCTTGAGCCACGTTACTGCACATGAGGGTGGCTGCCTCATTTCTCTCCTGCTCTTAGGAGTACTTGGTTATAGGCCCTTGTGGAATCAAGGGCAACCTCTTGAGTGTTTTCCAGGCTCTGGCAGTTTTCAGACCTCGCTGCAGTGCGGCTCCCAAGAGGACTGGAGGCTTGGAGTTTTCTCCAATTAAAAAGTATTCACGTCACCAAAATAACTGGCTAAGCGCCGTAGCGTTTCCAGCGAAGAGATGGGGAACGAGGCCGATCTTTCGTTCTGATGAGTCACTGGCTCTCTTCTGATTTCTTTCTTGTAAGTGCTGCTCAGACAGCCCCTTGATGCAGAAAGGTGGTTGGGAGTGATGGTCGCTGGGGAGCAGGATGAGCCTGTGAGCTGCTGCTCCTCTGAGCTGGTAGGGTGCTTGTCTGCATTGCTGCAGCTTGGCCTGCAACAGTGCCCCTCGCCTGCCCTTCCAAGGAGCTGAGGGAGGGGGCAGGGAGAAGTAAAATGTCTGAATAATTCCTGTAATCCTAAATGCATTAATCAAAATGAAGACAACCTGGTGCACTTCACTCCTAGGTCTTCTGTTCACCATATCCTAGTTGAAGGTTTTGTCTGTGTCCTGAAGAAAGTGACCTAAGAGTGATCCATACTCATATTCTTCCCATCTGCAAGGACAGGACTGCTGTACTGTAGCCAATTCTCAAGTCTATCTCAAGCATTTTTATGATGCCTGCTTCTGTCTGAGAGAGGAGAACTTGAAAGCTAGGCTGTTTCTGGCTTGGAGATGCTGAGGAGGCAGCACTACAAGTTCACTTACAACTTCCCTCCAAGCATTTTAGAATCAAACTAATGGACTACAGAGCCTTGGCAAGAAAAGTGTTTATCTATCATTATCCACTTCTTGCATCTAAGACTGCAGGTAAAATAGAAGATGTTGATGTGCAGCTACTTGGAGGCCTACAAAGAATGATGGAGGAGCCTCATAGGTGCCCAGCTTACTCTGCTGGCAACTACATGAACGTATTATGGCTTGGATGCGCACAAGAGTTGCATCTACTGCAGTAAAAGGTCATGGACGCTTGCTTTTCTCCATTATTTTTTTTCTTCACACAATCATTTCTCACAGTAGATTCATGCCTTAAATTAAGCCAACAACTGGAAACTACCAAGGCCTTTTTTTGCGTCTCCTTCCTCCAAAGGAGGATGGTTGTCTCGCTCAAGGCAAAAGATGCCAATTTAGAGTCAAACTGGTCCATAGTCTTGCCACTTCGTTTGACTTAATCTAGGCAGCTTTGATCTCATCTGGCACTTAAAAAGACAAACAAACAAAAGCAATAAAAAACAAAGTTTTGAGGGAGATCTTGCTCTTACAGAAACTTGCCAAACTTGATCAGGGTCCAGTTATTTGAAGCATGTCTTTAATAACGGTACTCATAGGTTGGCCCAATCTATATATTCATGGATGACTATGAGAGGGATTATTCAAGTGCATTTCAATGTAGTGTACTTGCATTAAAGAGCTGCTTCCTATGAGCATTCTCTTTTTACAAGTAGATGCCAGCAGTTGAGTGGTTTGCAAAAGCAGAGCGTGAAAGTGTGACTGCTTAATTTCCAAGTGTCTAAGCTGAGGAGCATGTAAGGCATATAAACTGAATAATACAAATGGAAGCTGTTAAATTATTTGCATGAATTAGTGAATGTGGCATAAAATGTATTCCACTGTAACTGGATCACCAGCTTCTGGGTATTGTATCTGTTATCATAAATATCCTGTAGGTTGAATCAGATCAATAATTTTAGCTAGCATTTTTTTTAATCATAGCTGAATTTGGCTTAAAGTAGCTTTCAAAGTTATTCCTTTTAGAGTTTTTTCATCCCTTTCTGCTTAACTGCCCCTATAAAGCATCTGGATGCCGTAGGTGAATTCTGTGGTCTTTTGCCCTCTCTGCTTGCCCCATGCATGCAGGGCTGGCAAGGGAGCTTTCCTCTGCCTACATTTAATTCCTGAAATATGAATCTTTAAAGCATTCCCAAATAAAACTCAAGAACATTCAGGCAAAGTTTCTTCTGCAAGCTTTAAAGTATTGATCAGAAGGATAAGGGAGGATTCAGTTCAGTTTTGTCACTGGAATCATAATGAAAGTTCGAAGAAGTCTGAAAAATTATATATATCTTTTTTTCTCTAAACATAAACTATCCAATTTCATGCAATTTCACAATTCCACTTGTTCTTCGGGGTCTCTTTTGTACCTTTTTTTGCTAGTGACCTTCATATGGACACGTAAACAGCATTCCTCTTTAGAAATACTGGTTTGGTTTTTGTTGAAACTTTGGGAAACGGTTTCTGGAGAAGAGATGCGGCATGAGAAATGCAAGTAGAAAAGCACGTTTTAGAATAGGCAGTGTGTTTTAGAATAGTCCTCTTGCAAGCCGTGCTTGTGGTGGCAGAGATGTGACTCCTTCAGCAAACTTCCTGGTGCTTCTGCCAGCTCTGATTTCTTGTGAGTTTTAAAGGAGGTGATAACTGATTTATAAATAGAAGATAGGCTTTATCTGTAAATTTTGAAGCTAGACTCGGAGCTTCCCAAAAAAGCACTTCGCACCTCCTGGGCCCCTGGGGTGGTTCTGGCTGAGGTATTTTGCCAAGAGGGCTCCCTGCTGGTCTCTGCAGATGCACACGCCGATGTCCTCGTAGCGGCACGCTTGCCTGCAGCGTCTCATTCCGGTGCCGCGCGCTCACTTGGGATGGCTGCAGGATTCGCGCTGGTTTCTGCTCTCCTTCTGCTGTGGCTGTTAGCGATCAAAGCCTGAGCTTGGCTCCCACCATCCCAGTGGTGCCATGGGCGAGATTCGTGAAATAAAAGCAGAGTTGTTTGGGAAATGGTGAAGTGTGTGTCAGAGGACCCAGCTTGTTAGGGATCTTCTGGGTTGCCCAACCTCTCTCAGCACTAAGGGAGCTGCGCCCTGCAATTAAGCGCTTTGCCAGACTTTCATGTAGCCCAATTAGGGCTTTCCACTTTGAGCTCCAGCAGAGACGGTCCACATTACCCGTCAGCATCAGATGCTGTGAAATGGTGTGTCTGATGGTTAAAGAGAGCTGCTCTGGCTCTTGCCATCGTATTGGGACGGTGGTTGGGGTGCCCACGGGTGTCGTGGCTTTACTCTGCGCACGTGAGAATGGCTTCTTATTGCAGAATCCCTTCGCCTGGGGCGTGGATGAGCTCACCACAGGTTTGCAGCTTAACAGATGCTTCTGTCTCTCTGCAGACCTGGGAAGGCCTCAGGATTATCGTGTGGCTCTGCCTGCTGGAGGCACCGGAGGTGGATCGGTCCCTGGTCATGCCCGGTGGAAGGAGGGGACCCAGTCGGCAGCAGCTAAGCCGTTCAGCTTTGCCTTCTCTCCAGACTCTGGTCGGTGGGAGCTGTGGCAACGGTGCTGGTTTGAGAAACAGGTGAGGGCAAAAGTATTGCTGAGGTGCCTGAGTGTTACTGAGGGGCCCTGGGAAATGGGCTGGATGACACTAACAGCTTAAGCCTCTTGGTCTGCTCTGAACTGAGGAAGTGGGGCTTGATAGTGGAAGACCTGGGAGATGGGAGCCTCGAGTCCACTCCTGTGGCAGTCACACTGAGCCCTGAAGGGCTCTTTATAACCCAGCTCTTTCCTGGCCTCTCTTCCCAGCTCCACTGGTGATGTGAGCTGCCCTCTGCAGCCCCACTCCTGACTCATGGTAAAAGTTGCCTCAAGGGGAAGCTTGTGGAAGAGTGGAAGGTCTCAGCCACCTTTTGCTGCTCTCTGTGGCCACAGTGACTGGGGATGGAAATTGTACAGTGCTCATTTTGTTTTTCCCCTGCAGAAATTCCCTGGGTAGTGAATTCCAGCCAATTGAGAGTCCTTGTGTCTCTTACTCCATGGCCTGCAAAGCCCTGGGAAATTCCTGTGATGTGTCACAACCAAGTTGTGAGTTCCCCTCCTGCATGGCAGAAAGGCAGGGGGATGTCTAGATTTTGTTTGGGCCCTGCCAGCTCCACATGAAATAAATTCCCACAACTGGTAAAGCTCATGTCAAGTATCAGGGGAAGTTGAGAGATAAAAAAAAAGGAACACACCTTGGCATTTAATCTCCTCATTTCCATAAAGATTAATGGAGAGCCTAGTGTCGTTTCCTTCTATGCAGAAGTGGGTGAAACTTCCCCAGAAAACTGGGGAAACTGAGAGAGCAGCTTCTGGGAACTAGCTGAACTCCTCTAGGTACCTCCTTACTTAAGAAAGAAGTGGTGCCATCCCTACTCCAGTGATGCCTAGCCCCAACCTGACTGTACTTAGGAGCACTGCCTTTCCAGGAAAGCGGTGCAGTCTATGTAGGATATTCCTTAAAGTGAGTGGCACGTGTCTGTTTCAGGAATGGTAGTGCCATCAGCCTTTCTGCACCACCCATCACAGCCCTGATTACTCCAGAGCCTGTACGGCACTGCCAGATCCCTGAACTGCCTCTGGACGGGAGCCTGCTCTTTGAGTTCCTGTTCTTCATATATCTGCTAGTAGCCCTCTTCATTCAGTACATCAACATCTACAAAACCGTCTGGTGGTACCCGTACAATCATCCTGCTTCCTGCACCTCACTGGTGAGTTTCCCAGCTTGTGCAGTAGCCTGTGTTTTCAGATTACACAGCTTCTGTTCATCCTGCTTCTGGCCAGGACTTGTCAAGCATTTCATAACATTTCACAGGAAAGGGGGCTTCACATGCCCTCCCCCATCACCCAGGGCCATGTCACTTCTATTTTCAAGGGGAGAAAATTAATGGAAAATGAAAGAGGTTATCAGGCCTACTCCAGAGCAAATCTCTTTTATGATACTTGTGAGGCCTAGCTAGCTCCAAGATTTTGTAACAGAGGTGAGACTCTAGAAGCCTGTTGTTTCCTGTTGTTGATGCTTCTTCCCAGTGGAAACACCAGGCATTGAGATAATGGAGATGACAGAAGTTTTCAGTAGCATCTCAGGTCAGTAGCAGAGGAGCTGGGGAGGAGGTCTGATCCTCAGCTCATGTAAACGCTGTAATCTCCTCAAGTTCAGTCTTAATCTTTCCTGGGCCAAAAATCCTGGGCAGTGACTTGTGTCTGAGTCTTCTGATGCCATTAGACTTCATCGGGATGGAGCTAGCATCTGAGGCAGCCCCCAACATAGATGGTTGCCTTCTTGCTTTGAAGGAAGGAACCACAAGGTGATTCCTTAGTTTCTATAATGACAGGTGGTGCTGGTGTTCCAGCTACCTGGTGGTGTGTTTCAAATTCAGCTACATGATGCTGGACACAGTATGGTCTTGCATTTGTTCTCATCAGAAGTCAAGCATTCTAATTTACTCAGGAAAAAAAACCTACAAATCCAGAGAGCGGTATTCAGGGTCTGCTAACCATAATAATGAGATCCCATATGATGGCTTCACTAACAAATTGTAAGGAGCCCAAGAGCTGCATCCAACTTGATGCAGCCAGAGCCAGCATTAACTTGTAACACAGAGCCATGACCCATGAAGATGACAGTTCTTAGGTAGACTTGATGGTTAATGGCTTTTCTCAGAAGAGCTTTTGAGCAGTTGTCCACAGTAGGATCCTGGCCCTAGAGCTCCCCTAACCCCCAAGAATATCTGTCTGAGGGGTTAGGGTTTTCTTTGCCCCTCAGTAGAATTTTTTTGCTGAGGGGAAGATCTTTCTTCTGTAGATATTCCTGTGTTACTGATTTTTCTCACTTCTCCCTTGCTAGACAGATTTGGGGCCCTTAGGGACCTCTATGTGAGGTCGTAGTGCACTCCAACAGCGAGCTCTTGCAGTCCCCCCTCCTCTTGGTAAAGACCTTTTCTCTTTCCTCTCCCAGAATTTTCACCTCATTGACTACCACCTGGCGGCATTCATTACAGTGATGCTGGCACGGAGACTCGTGTGGGCCCTTATCTCCGAGGTAACATCTCCACCCTTCCCTCTTCTGCATCTGATACTGGTCAGAGAGCGCAACCATTCGTGGCTGGAGAGCGTTTTTGGGTTGGATAGCTAGAGGTTCCTTCCCCCGGGAAGAATCTGGGAGTGAAGGACTAAGATTATGGGAGAGCCCTCTGCCTTGGAGCTCTTCTACCTCAGCCCACTCATGTCCTGTAGTATTCGGGAGCTCTGTTGTCTTTGCACCTAGAAGGAGATGGAATGGCCCCACTGGCTTCTGCAGGCATGATAGCTTACTATCTCCTGCCAGAAAAGAGATAGCTATCGTATAGCAGAGGGGTAAACGGGGAAGTTGTTTGGTGTTTTAGAAGAGCAAACAGGACATTACAGAGGACGTGGCAGAAGAAGGAGAGAGAGTATGCCGAAGGGAAACAAGAATAGCTGGTAGAGGTGTTCTTCCTGTGCTAGTGCTTCTTCCTAAACTTACTTAGATTATTCTGAGGCTTTGATATTGTGAATCTGGGTTTTGAGAGCATGTGCATCCGTGTATCTGACAGGAGAACTAGGCCAAGTAAAGACCTGAGGAAGGTCATTCTGGGCAAAGTGGAAGTGCTGGCCCCTGAAATAGTTAATATGACTCCAGACTAAGCCATAGGTTTAAAATGCGTGCATATGTACGTACATGTAGGCATACATACACACACATTATGTGCTGTTGAATGGACTAAATGGGATCCTAGAAGTCTCTTCCACCTGTCATTCCTGCCATTAATTACTTTCCCATCTGCAGTAAACCTTCCATAGACTGAAATTTCAGCTTTGAAACCTTTCATGCAGGTTTTTGAGCTTTCTATTGATGGGCTGTAATCCCTAGGATTGTTTTGGTAGTTCGGTTTGCCTTCCCCCCCGCCGTGGAAGCTGGAACTGAATGTTTCTTCTGGATTTGCAGGCCTCTCAGGTGGGCGCAACATCAGTGATTCACTATGTGGTGCGCCTGGTGCTGCTCACCCTCTGTGGATGGGTGCTCTGCTGGACTTTGGTCAATCTCTTCCGCAGCCATTCTGTCCTCAACCTTCTCTTCCTGGGCTACCCGTGAGTAACAACACCTTGTACCTTCAGTCTATGGGGCACATAAGCTACATAGGGAGCACTGGGGGAAGCAGGGCTGTTGGCTGTAGAGTGCCCCCAGAAGCTATGTAAACAAAACACCTTCTCTGACCTAATAAGTTGAGGAGAATTGGGAGTGGGGAGAGGGGGGTGGAGGCTTTATCTTAAGAGCCCCGAGCTTATGAAGGAAATTGCATGCGGTATGTGAGTTGCATGGGGGACTGTGACTGTGAAGTCTGAGCCATTCAGATCACTGGTCCCCATAAACAGGGGGGTTAAATGAGCCTTTCTGCACGGTTGTCAAGGCTGTTGTAGTCCTTGGTCTAGGGAGCATATGAGATGGCCACTAGCCTCTCGGATGAGGGTTCTCTATGTTATCCCTGTGCTAGGGGCCAGAAGATGCACTCTTGGATGCCTGTTGTTTCAGACCATGTTCCTTTCTTCCTTTAGGTTTGGTGTGTACGTTCCTCTGTGCTGCTTCCACCAGGACAGCAGAGCACAGCCCCTCCCTGCAGACTGTGGTTACTTGGTACAAGATCAGATGGTGGACGATGGGGCTTCAGGTGTCAGCAGCCTCGTCAAACCCAAAGATTTCCTCTCTCTTCTGTGGGACTCCGTGAGAGAACAGTTCAATAATCCCACATCTATCCCCACCCACAGCTGTCCCCTCTCCCCAGATCTCATCCGTAATGAGGTGGAGTGCCTAAAAGCAGACTTCAACCACCGGATCAAGGAAGTTCTCTTCAACTCTCTCTTCAGTGCCTACTATGTGGCCTTCCTGCCGCTGTGTTTTGTGAAGGTAGCTCTTGTCTGTGGCTCTCTGTGTCCCTGCCCGCCGCCTCCTTCTGAATGTCGTGTGAATTGCTGCCAGGCCAGATTCCTGGTTAATTCCCCTTTTCTCTGTCTCCCCTTTGGCAGCCCGGATAGCGGAGCATGGCTGCATCCGGAGTGCACTAGTACTGCTCCTGGTTGGCGGATAGGTATTGCCATGAATGTGATGCACCTCTAGTCCCATCACCCCACTTACTAACTCCCCTTCTCCCATATCCTGTCCTAGATAGATGGAGAGCTGTGGTTTTGACCAAGAGTACCCACTACTGTCTCGGATCCAGTGTCCTGGTTCTTGAACGCTTGGATCAGAGGCTCTGGTGTTAGAAAACAGAGCCAACTAGGATGTTTGGGAACCTAAACCTGAGAACCACTCCTCAGTGAGGGGTTGTATTTTTATGTCCATGTTTCTCTAACTAGAATGAGCTCAGCATTCGTTAACAAGGATGTTTGGGGCTTATGCAGCCAGCCCAGCTGGTGTAATGAAATAGGCAGAGCTACACAGTCCATGTAGCCATCCTGGTGCAACTGGTTCTCCTGGGGCCGTTCTGTGGGGAGTGAACCCTCCTATTATCTGCTGCTTGGGAGGAGATGCACCAGCCGCAGCATCAGCCCCCTTCCTTTTCTCCTTCAGGTCAAGGAGAAGGGAATCCCTGGTGTTTCCTAAGCTGTAACCCTGTGAAATCACCGGCCCAAAAGCGCATGCCTGTAACGCGTGGTGTGGGTCTGCTGGATGCACTTGCAGTATGTTCTCTTGTCATTCCCTTCTCTGCTCTATGACAGTGGAGCTAAATTCTTGTCTGCTGTCTTTGCAGAGCACCCAGTACTACGACATGCGCTGGTCCTGTGAGCACCTCATCATGGTGTGGATCAACGCCTTTGTCATGCTCACCACGCAGCTGCTGCCCCCCAAGTACTGCGACCTGCTCCACAGATCAGCTGCCCACCTGGGCAAGTGGCAGAAGCTGGAACATGGTTCCTACAGCAATGCTCCACAGCACATGTGAGTGTGGGGATGGCAAGGGGCGGGTAAGACGATGCAGTAGTTAGGCAAAGACCAGCAGTGCTACCTAGGAGGGAAGCTTTTCCATTCCCCACAGTGCTGGAGCCACAGGTACAACTCTGCTGGTCTTTCTCTTCCCTAGAAACCAACGTTTGCTCTAGAGCTGTCAAACTCCTCCAGTCCAGTGCTTGTTCCCTCGCAGTGCTAAACGCTCAGGTTCCCCTTGGCTGCTCCAGCAGCAGCTTGGGTAGGTGGAAGGGGTGCAGTGAAAGGCTCCTGGCCTGGGAGCCATTTGCTCACACTGCTGGCTCTCGGAGACTTTCTGTAGAGCTCCTGATCTCTTCCTCTCACTGTGGTTTTCCAACAGACCTGGAGTATTTCTTTACGACAGAGGCCTTGTTATTTTTCAAGATGTGTTCTGTTCGTGCGAGCCCTCTGGTGGGCTGGGACCCTCCTCTCGCTGGGTTTCCCTTCGATGCTAACTTGGTGGCGTTCTTTCCACACAGCTGGTCAGAAAACACCATCTGGCCCCAGGGAGTGCTGGTGCGACGCAGCCGATGCCTGTACAAAGCAGTTGGGCCTTACAATGTAGCAGTGCCTTCAGACGCCTCCCATGCCCGCTTCTACGCAAGTATCTCTTCTGTTGGCCTGTCCAGATTGTGGGAGGGAGGGGGGAAGGGAGGAGGAGACTCAAACCCAGCTGCAGCAGAGCAGATTACGCTGAATCTGAAGAATGAGGCTAGATGTTTCCTTTAGTAAGGGACATTAGCAGAATAATCCTACCTTCCTGCTTTTTTCTCCCCATCACTTTTTAGGATCTGACTTTAAGGTCACTCTAGAGGACCCTGTCTTTATCCAATAGAGGTGTCCTACTCACATTGAGTGAATAGTGAATTAAAAAAAAAAAAACCCAATCCACTCTCCTAAAATCTTGTCCTGCAGAGATAACGCCAGCATTCTTTATTGTGGCTTGTGGCTCCTGGTAGTAGAAGATACTCACTGGCTTTACCATGGTGTGCTTGTAACAGTACCCTTTCTCATTTCTCAGTACACTCCTGAAACAACTACGTATCAGCAAAGAGTAAAAATTAGCTAGGCAACAGCTTACAGCATCTGTCCAAAAGGTCATAGTTTTCTCTGTGCTACCTGAGCTGTGTCCCCGAGCAAGTAGCTGTTTTTTTAGAAAGTATGTATTCTATTGGCAGATGTTTTCATTCCAGCTGTGGTGTGGGGCCTGCAGCAGCTGCACTAGTCATGAGCAGTGATGGTTGTCATGTCCTTGGTACTCGGTTATGTGGTTCGTAAGAACTGAAGCGGCTCCGGAGCCTGGAGCAGATAGTTCCAGAGGAGTCGGGGAGCTGAACTAAATCATCACTGGCAAATGCAGCTCCCACCACTTAGGTTTACATGAGCTCTATCCTTCATCGGGGTCAGTTCAGCTCACTTTCCCGGTGGAAGGCTAATCCAAAAAGAGAAGAGCTGGGTTAGAGAGCTAGGTCAGCTCTTAGGGTACTGGAGCCTAAGTGTGAGGGAAGAGTGTAAAACAACTGAGACATCTACCCTTCCAGTAGCAGTGACTTGTTAGAGTTGTTTTTAGCCCAGGAAGCTGGAGAGTCCCTTTCCCACTATGAGTTGGCTGCATCAAACCTGTTTGTGCTCTCAGCTGAACCTTGTTCCCAGGTGCCCGTCTCCCATGTGTGCTTGGGCTGGGCTGTATGGAGCAGAGTTGAGTGCTGGGCAACATCCGTTTTGCTGTCAAACAAAAGTATTTGCTCCTGGCAGAGGGACTTCCGCAGTGCAGCGTGACGGTGACGTCTGGGCAAGCAAAAGTCACTTTCTCATCGTGGCAATGCCACTCTCCCATCTGACAGCAGTGTATTCCTAATAGCATCCTAGTTAATAGAACCCTTCCAGGGCAACTGAAAAATACGTGGGGTGGCCATTCTTTTTTTTTTTTTTTTTACCAGTCCTCCTCTTCTCAAGAAAAATCACAGTTGTGCATGCCTAATTTTTTAAACTTTGTCCTCTAGGATACAAGAGCTAGTGGGGGGGGTAGGATACAAGAGCTTTTCTTCCACCCAGCACCGCAATCGCCAGCCCTGTGGAGCCAGGGAGCATTATGCACCCACAACCTCCACTTCCTGCCTTCGTGCCGCAGCAAACCCCAGCAATGCCGCTGATGTTCGTCCTTTTTCACCCTTTTTAACTGTTCCCCTACAGTTCCTTTTCCACCGTCCATTACGGCTGCTCAACCTGCTCATCCTCATTGAAGGCAGCGTGGTCTGCTACCAGCTCTACTCACTGCTGCGCTCAGAGAAGTGGAACCATACGCTCTCCATGGCCCTCATCCTCTTCTGCAACTATTACGTCTTATTTAAGCTCCTCCGGGACCGGATAGTATTAGGCAGGGCATATTCCTACCCACTCAACAACTATGGACTCAAGGCACACTAGGCTGGCCAATCGTGTACCCCTTTCCTTTCCCTTCCCACAGGACAGGGAGAGAACCTCAGAAAAAATATTTTCGTACAGTTCTATTTTTTTCTTGCGGCGTTTATAAATATTTAAAATATTTTATATTTTGTATACTATTGTTTTTGTGGGGTGGGAAGGGAACCAGTGGCAATTAAATGTCGCTTTATAAACCAGGTGTTATTTTATATATATATATAAAAAAAATCAGTGTGTATATACCGTATATCTATACCCATACATATACCTATGTGAAGCAACAGGATTGTGCGTGTGGTCACTGTGTCTGCTTCGCTCACACAACTGCCCTGCTGCTGCCTGTGGTGGCGGTGGGGCTGCTCTGGGAGAGCTGTGGCTGAGCCAACAGTAAGGGGGAGTAGGGAAGCACAGGGGGCTTTCTGCAGTGCAGGCAGCTCAGCAAAGAAACCTCAGCACCAGGGCCGTTTGTCCCTGAAACTGATGTACGGGGCCGTGCTGCCAGCGGAACGGGAGGAAGCAGCATGCTGGGAGCTGCGCCCACTTGCTGACAGCAGCCGCTCCCTCTTCCCTTTTCTTCCCAGCAAGATGCAAATACCTTTTTTGAGTAAACCATTTACTTTATGTCCTAGCCATCCTTCAACAAACCCGAGCTCCCTCATTCCGCCCAGAGAATTACTGTAAAATTACAGATTAAAATTACAGATTAAGTTGCTGTTTCAGTGAGGAAGTTTGAAATAGTTTCATTTTGTAGACAGTGACTGGCTGTTTCGTACTGCCATTTCTAACCCCTACAGGATTAAATCGGCAAATACTCTGCCAGTATTTTCTGCAAGCAGCAATGTTCCTTGGAGAAATTTATTACTGTCAAATGCTGATCAACTCCTGCTATTTCCATACAATGCACTTTACCAGTGTTCCATCATGCAGACATATACCTCTAAGGTATTTTAGAAGTGTTTAATAAGTTATCATTAATATTAGGGGAAATATCATGCTCTTAAAATCTGCTCTTCATAGAATTGAACTATACTAGCATCTAGTGAATGATAGTTCTGGTAGTATCACACAGGGGAATTGAAAATAAAAGACAGTGTCAAGTTTCATTATTTTAGCTGTGGATGCTGCTAAGAGCTGCTGGTAGCTGTTGATGTTTTGGCTTAAGTAATTAAGGGGAAGGTATTGTCATGTTTGTTTGTTTTTTTTCCATTCAGATGCTATTTGACTGCTAACTTTAGCCATTAGTAAAGTGCAAGCTCTCTTTAAAAAGATTTTTTTTAAAAAAAAAAAACAAAGAGAGGTAAGCTTTGGGAGAAACTGCATTCACTCTCTCTGTTCCTCCTCTCCTTCCAAGCTAAGTAAGAATGCAGTGCTCTTTTCTGTTGCTGACAGCTTCCCCAATAGCCTGATCACAAAGCCAGCAGTTTCCCTTCTCAGATATCTGATAAGGTGGGCAACAGGAGAAGGCTCTGAGTGTTAACTCCTCCTTGCAGGTGTGTTAAGATCCTCTTCATTCCCAGGGAATGAGGCACTATAGCCCTGGGAATATATCTATCTGTATAGGAAGCTGCCTTTCTCTTGCAGGAGTCCCTTTCTTACATGCTGGGGCAGGAGAGAAGGTCCTGTGAGAAGATTTAAGGACTTGGGATTGTGGCTTTTCCATGCATAGCCATGTAAACCTGCCTGTACGCAGTCCAGCTATCTTCCATCTTTCAGATAGGAGCCATACAGGAAAAGAGGTTGCAGAGAATGGTTGCAGCTTCCCCAGCTGGCAGAAAAGAGTGAGGAATGAGCTAGTACAAGTGGTCTCCCCTCTACAAACTGGAACATTCCCTACCCAAAAGGGAGTAGAACTCTGCTCGCATTGATGCCTGCTTAAATCAGTCGTCCTCCCCCTCCTTGCAATGGGCCTGCTAATAAATCTTATTCAAGTAATCACTGAAAATAAGTCCATTCTTTCACTTGTTCAGATCAGACTAGGAAAAAAAGTTGGAGCATTGCTCATACTGGCCACCCTATCATGCGAGGATGTCATAATAAACTGATGGTTTTTTGGTCTGGTGACGAAATTGCTCCAGCTTCAGGCCAATCCTGAGCAGCATAGCTTCATCCCACCATTTGGTCATGATCTAGGAGGAAGAGAGAGGGAAAGGAATGGCAGGAGGGGAAGGGAATCCAGACATTACTGAAAGCCCTGCAGGATATGGCTAAAATAACTTCTAGCAGCATCAGAAGAGCACAGGCTTTTCCCTTTTAAACGTGTAAATGTGGCAGCACTGCATTTTGGATAAAGGCAGCTGTCTGACAGCTGAGAAACACAGACTTTCATTTACATGACACCATTTCCAAAGCAGAAGAACAAGGAAAGGCTCAGAGAAATTACATAACTGAAAATTAGGAAAGAGGGAAGAGTAGTGACAGATGATAGGGGCAGCCAGGAGGTTCGTGATGCAAGTAAACAGGAAGGTAAGAGAAATTCAGCTCCCAGGTTCCAGAGGAGTCTTTCTACCCTTCTAGGCAAGTCTTCACTCAGAAGTTAAACCTTCATTACCATTGCCTCTACATTTCTCAACAATGCTGCATGGAATAGCAGAACCTGTTCAGTTCAGAGGGACTGTCTTACCTGGAGGTTGATAGGAAGCCCAGCAGCAGAATATCCAACAGGAACCACCAGGCCTGGAATGCCCGTGAAGTTGCCAAGCTGCATGAACCTGGGGGAGAAACTGTCATCAGCAGTCCTGCCTTGGGACAGGAACAGAGTCAGCCTTTCTGCAAGAGGCAGCTAAGCTGGATCTCTCCTGCTCTACAGCCTAAGCTCCTTTTGCTAGTGCAGCTCGTCCCAGCTACTCCCGAACTTGGCTCTACAGCCTAAGTAGCTCTCTTCTTACCTCATGGCCCGCACTGTGAGTGAGAAATCGCTGAACCCAGCCACGAGGTCAGAGTTGTGGATTCTTGGGGCAGTGGACGCAGTAGCTGTGGAAGGGAAGAGTCGGGCAGTAGGCAGACACCAAGATACAGCTCAGTTCCTTAAAGCTACATTTGATCCACATCGGTGATGCAAACCATCATTGGGATTTATGATTCGAACAGTTAGGTTGTAATTGCAATATGACCATCTTAATGTCTAAGAAGCAGTTGTCCAGTCACCTCTGTGTAACTGCCAGCTCTGTAGGTCCTATTTCAACTACCAAAAAGTAATATTCTGACTGCCATGGATACAGGCAATAGATCTAGAAATGCACAGCACTCATTCTAACCCAAACCCATTTTCTTCTACAGGCCTGCAGCACTGCAAAGTCTTTGCACGAAAGTCATGCTCTTAAAAGTAGGGAGGGGGAGTTAATGAAGTAACTGTTCTTAAAATGCACCGTGTAACTGTTTGGGAGCAGCTCTGTGGCTAAAACTGCTAATACCTGGTGTCAGGATACAGTCCACAGTGGAGAAAATCTCTCGCAAGAAGCCCATGCTCCGGGTCCTCTGCCGATTTGCCTGCAAACAGAGGACTACTATTTGACAGGGCCTCTTGGTTCGTGGGGCTTACATTTGACAGTTACAGCCCCAAAGCCCGCACCTCTGGCTTCATTCCTGTAGTTTGGACTCCATGTGCAACACACCAACCAGCCCCAGTGCTATGGCCTCTGGGGTGCCCCACCATTTAGCATATCCCTGCAGTAAAAGGCAGGATTGCCAGGTAATGTATTTGCACGGCCCCTGTCCCCCTGCACAAGGAGATTAAGCAAACCCGCCTTTCTAATCTCACTGGTGCCTCCCCGCCAGCCTTCAGCACAGCATGTTCCTCACCGTAATATAGTCCAGAGCTGTGAACTGGCAAGCCACGGCCAGGCTGATCCGAGTCTCCAAATTCTGTAACAGAAAACCTTGATCATGGCTCTGCTTGCAACTAGCTAGTTAACCATATTTTCTTGTGTTAGACAAGCACAGGGTATGAAAAACTAACAAACTCCCTCTTTTCTTCTGTACCTTTCTCATCCTTATTAACGTGCCATCAAGCATAAGCACTTCACGGTTTCTGGGAACCGCAGTTCACAGCTTTGCACACTTGCACAGTGTTCCATGGTGACAGGAAGAGTTTTGCAGTGGGCATGACAGTTAGAGATGTGGTTAAGAGCAAGAGACTGGGCTGTGTATTTCTGGAGTTTTTTTAGGTCAACATTCCTCTATGAGTGGTCATCCAGCAGTTGCTTTGCCACAGGAAAAGCAGAAGAACCCCAGGTTTCTTGCTACTATTAAACACTTGATTTGAATCAGCTCTGATTCCATCTGCTGCCACTTACCAGTTGCTGGAAATGTTTGTTGAAGTCAGGCTGCAGGAAGTCTCTCATCTCACTGAGAATACAGATTCCATGTGCCACTCGCACCTCCTCCATCTCTGGAAGAAACACTTCCACCACGCTGGCTCCCAGGCTCTGCAGGTACTCTACAGCTGAGGACAGAACAGGTTGAGCAGACAGCATCCTTCAGTTCAGCAAATGTTACAGAGGGGCCGAGAATACCGCTCCCTTGAAAAGTCAGAAATTCCCTAGGCTGTTGAAACACAACCACCTTCAGTGCATTATGTGGCATGCAGGTTGCTGTTCTTTCTGACAGATAAAAGCCTTAGGCTTAACTAGATCTCTGTGCTCCAGCAGAGCCAACGTTGAGGCTTAGAACTTACCTATCATATTTTGGGCTAGTTTATCTCCTCCCTCTATCTCCCAGTTAACCGAGACAATAAAAAAGAGTTGATAATGCTTCCCTGAGCACTTCATATGACCAGTAATGTAGGGGCATGAAGTGGTTGTTTAGCACCAGGAGATTCTCATTCAAAGCCTGTTTTGAACAACAGTGGTAGGAGAATCTTAGGATGGGCTCAGAGACCAAGCCAGCAGAGTTGAGCCACCAAATCCTAACACACTTCAGCAAAACCGAACACCAGGACTGGTGAAAAACAACTTTTTAGCATCCTAGGACGAACAACTTTCTTTGATCCCGGCTTGTTTATAAACTCCCCAGCCTTGCCTACTTCACTGGCATATGGTGTGTCCCTGCTAATACAACTCTAAACCTGTGGAAGAAAGGTCAGATCTCTGAATTCTTCTGATGGATAACTAGGATAACTAACCATCTGTCTTTCAAGCTGCATGTCATTGGGAGAGGAGCTCTGTTTTCAGGGAACCTGTTGCTTTGACACTTTAAAGCCCCAGATTATCTTTTGGATCTCTGAGTGCAAGGAAGTTGCAGAATCTGCAGCACTCTTGGTCTACAGAAATAAGAGCCTAAAATAAGGAAGCTAAAGAAAATTCAGGCTTGCAAAGCCCAAGTACTATGAACACCTCAGCTCCAATGCACAGGAGGTCAACTGTTCTGTTAGAGACTCTGGAGTCTCTCTCCTCTCCCAGTACACACCAAGTTCAGTTTTGCTTAGTCTACAATTTGACAAGGCCACCCAAATGGTCCCCTCTGTCTGATTTCAAGGAAATACCACGTGATGCATCGCAAAGACCTGGCCCTATCTTTACTACTAATCAATGAATTGTCAAGCAAGTCCCTCTGCTAAGAGTCTTTCACCATTAAAGCTTGCCGAATGAGCATTACTAAGCACAGAGCGGCTTTCATAGAGAGACAGAGACTTAGCATGTTAAAGCCCATTCTTCCATTATAGGCAAGCAAGCCTACAACTGCCGCACTTTTTAACCCTCAGCAGTCAGGAGGATTTCCCTAGCACAAGGCTACTGCTGTGTGTCCAGCCAGACATCTTTAAGCATCTCCTTTAAAGGACTTCAAGCCAGACCTCTTTAATGGGTGCAGGAAAGGAGCACTGAGTGACACAAAGGCCTCAGATGCAGCAACATTACATGCACTTGCTTTTTACCTTTCTCACAGATAGACAGAATTTCTGGATCACACGCCTAGACAGAAAGAAAAAAGACCAGATTTTAATAGCTGCAGTCTCTCCCCCCAGCACATGACTTTACTCCTGCCTCTGATGGCAGGGAAACACATCCCTTCAGAGCCGCCTTTTGGCCGGCTTGGAGGTCCTAACTCCACGGAGGAGCAGGCTCCCTTTCCAGGGGAGAAGGTGTTCCTCCTCTGCACCAAACCAGAGCAAGAAACAGCTCTTGTTTGCCCCCAGGGAGGAAATTTTGGGCACCTCTGTGGGGTTCCATTATAATTTCCAAGCAGTACTAGCTTGCCAGTCCAGTGTCTACATTGGAATGATGAAATACTGTGCAGCAGCTACAGTGTTGTAATCAAATGGATAAACTAATTGACCTCATTTGTTTTTAAACAAATTACCTTTTGGAATCAGTTCAGAAGCATCACCTCCAAGGGAAATACTAATGTAAGGAAGCACATCGCCATCAACTGTATAGAGTCATTACCTTCCCTCACACTTCCCATAGACCTTTGCTCAGAGGCCTGTCTCAGGAAAGAAAGTCATCCCAGTGGATAATAAATTCCCCTGAACCATATTCCTCGTAAATATGAGGACCTCTCAAATTGACAGGCAAGGGAACACTGACCACTCTGAATTCCTTCAAAATCTCATCTTGCAAAGTACCAGGAAGAGAAGAAAAGGGCAGGCACCTTAAAAAATGTCCAGTCCACTCCCAGCTTTAAGCCCTTCAGGTCAGGTGCACACATATTTGTCAGGGTTGCTTTGGGCTGCTTTAATCCTGCAGGAAACAAACCAGACTTCCTCTCTTTATCTCGGATACCTCTGGGAAGGCAGATCTTCTGGCTGACAAAGGGAGAGGGCTCACCTACCATATGGACAGAGTGGATCTGGCTCAGCAAGCACACTGTACACAATGGCTGCATCTGCCACCGAGGTACAGATAGGACCTGGCAAAGGAAAATCAGTATATGACAAGGGGCAAACAGGACCTGCTTTCCAAGGCTTTTTGTAGGCATAAATTGCCTCCCCAAGCAGCAACATCACCACACAGTGAGGTCCCTGAAGTGAAACATAGCCTTCTTACCCACACTGACGGTGGAATAAGAGAGCGGGAGGCAGCCGTGAGAACTGATCCGCCCAAAGGTACCTTGAGAAAAAGAAACGCACAGGTATATATGCAAGGTAGTAACAAGCAGTTGTTGACACGATCTGACCTGGACGGCTCTGGCTCTTCCTGTCAAGTTCCTTGGCATTTGACAGTCTGCCAGTCACTTCTGTGGGTTGTCTCACAGCCTGATCACTGATCATTCAACACCCAGTTCTGCTGACTGCCATTGTCATCAGTGAAGACGAGACCCATAACCCCAGTTCAACACACACTGAAACCATTTCCACCCATAAGAACTGATCTAGTGAAGAGGAAATATGTACAGGGATTTATGAAACAGATACATTCAAATATGCAGAAGCAGCACCTATGGTGCAGAGGATGAAGAGGCAAAACCAGAATTATCAACAGGAGGAGAAGCTGGAATCTGGGAGCAGATCACTGCTTCTAAAGATCTCACTGCTTCACCCATGAGACTTAATGCCTAACACCAGTTGTCTTCTGCGAGTGTTCTTGTTGTCTCCTTCCGACCAGCTACGTCGTGTGTCATAGGCATCATGATCTTCCTCAGCCTCAGATCAATCAAGTTGAATCGAGTTAACTGCTTGTGAACAATGGAAAACCAGGGTAACACTTTGAATGTCTGGTCTCAAATGAAGCAGCCAAGATCCTAAAGGGTGATAAACCTTTCTGAAAATCCAGTATCTCTTCCGACTGGTAATTCTGCCTATCTCTCCATCCTCCATGCTTCAATGCTGCATATTCCATGCTTGCCAGGCAGGCAGACAAATTCTGCCCTGTGTATTTCCTGTGCAAGTTCCCCCTCTTACTGGAAAAATTGCTTTGCAAACATGCATCCTTGACAGGTAAGTCTACATCTTGGTTTGGTACAAGCCTGTTACCAGATTTAACTTAACGGATACGAATCTGAGCAGTCTCAGCCTCCCCATCTAACTGGGGTGATAGGAATCAATGTTTGGCAGAGTATCTTTTCACAAGCTTACTATGGATACCTGACCAAGTGGGGAATACCTCCCAGCAGATGTGCAGAGGAGGAGGATGGAAAAGGAAGGCGTGGATAGAAAGAGAAGCAGCACATGTGTTTTGTTGAGCATTTGACTCATTTACAGAAGTTAATACTTTTTTGGATCTCTGTTCAGTGGTCAGTACTGGGAACACTTAAATTCTGCCAATCCCACCCAGGAGATTGTATCACAGGGTGTTATATCTGGAGTTTCTCTGGCTCAGTTTTGATAACAGGAATTAATGAACCATGCCTCACTTGTCTGCTGCATCAAACAGGATGCCACAAACAAAAGTCCCCCCATCATGACCGAAGGGGCACTACCTTTCAGCCCTACCACACCACAGAATGAAGCAGGAATCCTCACAGAACCTCCTCCATCTGTGCCAATAGCCACAGGGCAGAGACCTACAAAAAAACCATATTGGTCGAGATCAGACAGGTGTCACATTGTACAGCCTGCTGCCAGCTGTAGCCAAAACAGTGCAAAGAGATCTCTGCTCGCCTAGGAGTTCCCCTCAGCTTCCCTCATAAGAAGCTAATGCCTGACCTCAGGCCCTTCCTCTTCCCACCCCTAAGCTCAGTTTAGAGCCACTTACCTGCTGCTACAGCTGCTGCTGACCCACTGGAGCTCCCACCTGTGTAATGACTGGGCTTGTAGGGATTCCTTGGGATCTTGTGGTACCTGAGGCAGATAAGCATTATGGAATTTTTTTTTTCGAGGAGGGTCCAAGTGCATTATAGGGCAGGGAAGACCAGAAACACAACTCAGGGATTCAGTTCTCCCAGTAAAAAGACACACTTCTATCCCAGACAGTGCTATGTCCCTAGAAGATCAGGCCCACAGAAGACTTGTAGCTGAGTCCAGTCTCCTGTTCTTATAGGCAGCCTATTTGAGCAAGAGCAAAGAAAGAGAAAGGACGCCATTCCAGCTCTTGTCTTCGTGATGGTGCTGTACTGTGTTAAATATTACACATTTCCAAAGGATGGGGAACTTGCTGATCCACTCTTTCTCTGTTACTGTGATTAAGCTGTTTACTGTTTACTTGTTTTCCTGTCCCTGAAGCTTTTACCTATTACTTATCCTGTAAACATTCATACTTCCAAGGCTGTAAGGCGTTGGCAAAGCAACATCATTATTCAACAGTCACCACTTGGATCCTCTCTTTCCTTTGGTTTCAGGAATTTTTGGGCTTCTACAATTGTGCTGACCCTTAAATCTGCAATGCTGGGTTTTGATATTACCAGGGTTCCCCACTTCACTGGGCTCTTTGTCAGTTTTATTTTCATGTGTTTTTCCTATTTTTGTGCCATTCCCTGTCAAGTTTGGGTAGGTCTTTCAGCCTTTCTCTGTTGGTTAGGGTGGGCAGAAGAAAGGGAAGGAAGGGGAAAAGGATTTTTACCCATTAGGGTTGCATCCAGTTGTTCCAGTCCCTAGTTCATGCATGTTTGAGACCCCAATAATGATAGCTCCAGCCTCTCGCAGCTTCTTGGCCACAGTAGCATCTTCTGTTTCAGGCTCTGCCCCAAGATACTCCGTTCCCACTCGATGACGGTAAGGCACCTTAGCAAGAAGATACCTTGTCATGCATCTTAAAACCCTAGTCAGGCAGGCAAGCACATGTTCATGCTTCACAGTTTACCCGCTCAACAAATCTCAGACATCACAACCCCCAGAGTTAAGACACAGCCAGGCAGCTTGCTTGTTCATCTCATTATGATTGGTTTCTGTTAGGAGGGACAGTGAACCCTACAACATTTGATCCTTCGCACATGCAGAGGAGCCATTGTACTGTCATGATACAGAACAGCAGAAACACATGGGCAATCTAGAGCGAGGCACTTGTTATGCCCACAGGCTGCAGAACAGACACTTTGCCCTATAGCACACAGCCATTCTCTCCTCCACTTTTCTGTGGAAGTAGCTGCAGTGTTTCAAACAGAGGCACCAAGATTAGATGGGCGATAAAATTCCAGATGGGTTCGTTGTCAGGGTATGCTAAGCACTTTCCACTCAGGTACAACAGTGGAAGAGTTCTGTACATAACCAGGACTCCAGCCCTAAGGGTAGGTATCTGCAGAGCCTATGACAGCTTGATGGCACCAACAGGAATGCTTAATAACAACTGTTGCTAGGCCACATGCGAAATACCTCATGGCTGGGATTTTTAGAGTAACTTGCATATTTCTGACAAGTACATCCCTTAAAGTAAGGGGAAGGAAATGTTTAGCCAGTGAGGCAGAGTCAGTGCCTGAGAAATCCATACAGTTCCAGCTGTTGCTACAGATGTATTTATTCACTCTATGAGCTAAGGGATGGTTCCCCACCCTACCCCACACTGAACTCCCTATGGAGTAAAGAGATTAGTAGCAGATATGAAGCATGTCTGTCATTGCCAAGCTCTGTCTTCACCTGGGAACTACCAGTCACAAACCTGCGTACAGCCTTTGTTACAATAAAACAGCTTCTCAGGCTTTTGCTGAGGAGCTGCTCTTAAAACATTGCCACAGTGAGTTGCACAGGTTGACCACCTTATATTTGCTGGAGCTAAAAAGATACTGCGAGCTTCCTGAAATGGGTTGCTTTGAGCTCCTTCACAAGGAGGAACAAAGCTAGCTCCTAGAATGCCCTACTACATGAACTGATCACTTAGAAAAGGAAACCTACCACTTTAAACTCTTCTTTCAGGCACACTGGGATCCCATCCAGGTGAGATAGGGTACATTTAGTTTTGTAACGAGCAGTAGAGGCCTCAGCCATCTGCACAGAGGGGAGAAAAAAATAGTTGAACTGAAGATCATTACCAGTTTTAGAGCAGAAAATACAAATGGCCATTTTTAGACTACTGCTAGGCCAAACTGTAAGTTTCTTTCCTTTTCTACCACTCTCTGATGAAAAACTATTGCTTAGAGGCCTCTATGCTGCTAACAGATGCCACAAAAGCCCAGGAGCCTTGTTTCAAACATAGTGACTGAGTAGAAAACAGATTGTCTCAATGCTACCTGTCTTTGGAGGAAAGGAAGCAAACCTGTTTGCAGACCTGTGCCGGGGAGGGAGGAAAAACATACATAATTTTCTGAGGACTATACCTGCAGAAGATCTGCTCCCCCTTCTACCCGAGGCTATTGCTGTTGGGGCAGGCAGACATTACCAGCATTATTTGTTCGCGGTCCCACTGCACTATCGCTCGGAGCGGGGGTGTAGATTTGTCACAGTCCTCCAGCACGGCAATGATGTTCTTTGCTACCTCAGATGGTGTCAGCTTCCCACTCCTAGGGGACAGGAGAGGTTGGGACTTCATTGTAAGACTCCCCCCCACAGCACATCTATGCACATGGTTTGCCTCTTACGTGTAGCAAGATGGCAGCTGTCACTTCTGTAACAAAGAACTAGGCAGGAATCTGTGGGTGGTGATCAATTTCAACACAGTCTTCACCATCCAGACAGGAGACTCCTTTCTTTAAAGAGGGAACTCAGATTTTCCCAAAATACCAGGTGAACAGGGAAACACGGCCAAGAGCTTTACAGAAAGCCCTCAAGCTCTTGAAAGCCCAATGCTATGAAACTCCCAGCCTCATGAGCTAGGCCTGACAGGTTGGCCCTCTTTACAGCACGCTGCCCATGACAGAGGAGAGAGCCACAGGAGTACTGTTATTTTTAACCTTTAATACACAGGCCGTGCCTCCCCCCGGCAAGAGGCTACGTTACCCCATAAGCAGACCTGGCACTAGCCTCATAGTCAGCATGAGCCTTGAACAGTAGACAGCCTCGCCAGCCCTTTGCACCAAGGCCAGAGCTCTCTGGCAGAGGTGGCCATTGAAGAACGTGGGCCAGGAAGGGTAGTCTGAGTACTGCACATCTGGGCATGTGCGTCAAGAGACTGCTAGGAGTTATTGAGCAACTAAGAGCTTGCAGTGCCACACGCTTTCAGCAGCTCCTGATCTTGATAGCTTGCTGGGTGAATGGAACCAAGCTGCTTGCAGGAACACGAGCAGAAAGGGAGTCAAGAGACTTCTCAGAGACTTGCCAAATGTGCAACTCTCATAATCCGGATGTACCTTCCTCTTCTTCCCTCTCACTTGTCTGGGCCAAAAAAAGTATGTAGAAATCCTCCCTAGAGAGCACTGACAATAAGCTAAGCATAAGGGCATGTAAATATCCTTGTGGGGCTTGTAAGAGTTTTGCCAGCTCCCCAGGCTGGCTTTCCTTTGTTATTCTATCAGAGGGAAAGGACTGCAGAAGGTGGCCTTAAGCAAGGGTACCTCAAGGACAATCTTAACAAAGGGATACCAGAGAGCTTGTGGAACAACAAGCAGGGGGACAACCACGACAAATTGTTCCCAGACCCTAATTTCACCTACCGGTAGCAGTTCAGGTAGTCTTTGATTCCTTTGAAGCTAAACCCATCGCTGGCAGAATCAGACCTGCAAAGAGAAGATCAGAGGGGCAACTGTAGCACCAAAGCCACCTTTGCTTACAGCTGCACACTCTCCCGAGGACTGCAGATTCCAGTGGCCCAGTCCAATGCAGGTTGAGCACTGCTCACTGATACCACCTGATGGTTGTTCTTTGGGCCAACAGCCCAGACGTTTCAGCTCGGGCCCCATGGAGACACGCAAAGACACCATGTACACCAAGGGTGCTGCAGAAATAAGGGGTCAGTCTTGCCAATGTGTTCTCATCGCTTCATACAGCTACCGTTGCTTCATAGTTCAGGAAAGTAGTTGGTTGAAATTTACTGCAGATTTATATTTGCTGCTCATCACTGGAGCAATACAGAACACCCAGAATATACCGACAAACTAGTTCCAGGATCTCTGCCCCAGGTTTCAGTCAGAGTTAGGCAGCAGTGCAGATGGTATGTGATGGCTGGAGGGGGAAGAGGCGCTATGCAGCACACACAGGAATTGACATCTGCAAGCTGCTTAAAGATCAAGTCTGTGGCTCTAGCACCTAAGATATGGAGCATTTCTCATCACAATAGGAAAGTAAAGGAGAACACAGGAAAAGCTAGCTAGAATTACTACTCCTGTGACATTTCCATATCATCACTCAACCCAGCTACATCCTTGAGCAGGAAAGCATAAGGTACCACAAGATACTATGTAGGGAAGAGGCAAATTTCAAGTAACTTGAAATAACTTTAACTTGCCTATAATAATGGGCAATATATACTGCTGGCAGCACAGGGGACACACAGCCCAACATGTGTCTGCAGGAAATACACCCCTTCCTGCAAAGTGAAGCTGCTGAAAGTATCTCCTTGCTCTAACCTAAGGACTCAAACAGAGAGAAAATTTAGTCTTGCTGCAAGCGAGAAATGACTGTCATGGATGAAGTGTAGCTTACGGACCTCCTCAGTAACCATTGGGCAGGTCTACAACTGAGAACAAAAGCAGATGGGACAGCACTCATAGTTCTCCAGCCACTCCCAGCCCATCTCAGCATCAGATCTCAGCGAGACACATGAACCTGAGGAACTTTTCACCCCTAGTCTAGGGGGATTTATTCAAGTACATCAAGAAGCTGAACAGGTAGTTCTCAAAGTAACCTAAGTAGCAAAGCCTAAACCCTTGTGGATGGTTTTCTTTGTACCTCGCATTCTTTCTCTCCCCCCAGCAACCTCCTTCCTTTATATTCTCTTTATGACTCCTTGAAGGCAAGAAACAGCACATCTGCAAACTCACTTGAAGGGATGGACAGGCTGACTAGCCAACCACTACACATATCTGCTCTGCATGTGCAACCAGAGCCATGGCAAGGCAGAATCTGGTCTCTCCCCACTATAGAGACTTCATGAAATCTGTAGAAACTTTATGTTGGCTCATACTGCTAACAACTTACGAGTTACAGGAAGGAAGAAACAGTGATAAAACTCTCGATATCTCTTGAAACAGTGATAACTTTTGAAAAGCAGCATGGTGTGGGAAAAGGGTTTTTAATACAGATTACTTACAATGAGCTTCCCACTACTATAATAGCACCAACACATGTGATCTTCCACTCCCACACATCCCCTACTGACCTTGCATCTAGCAGCTGCTTGATAACGTCTGAAGTGTTTTCAGCCTCACACTTGTCCTCTGTAAGCTCTGCAGCAACCTCTGGGATAAAGGTGGGATCTTCACGAATATCAAGGGAACGCAGGAGAGAGAATTTGTTCAGTCTGAAAGAGAGACAAGGACTGCTGGAGCTTGCAAGTTCCACAGTGACTTTGGCTCCTTTTAAAGATTGCTTGAAGATAACTTAATTCTAGGACGTTTTCCCTCAGCAGCCTGCTTCTCATGGTATGGAGCAACACTTGAAAGATGATCTCTCACACTTTTCCTCTTGGTAGCACAGACCTTGCTTTGCTTGCTTAACATAACCACCTACCTCTTGACATAAGGCCAGTCAGTCTCCATCAGCTGAAGCTGGAAAAGAGCCAATGAGTTTCCCCATTCACTTTAATTCTACACATTGCACCCACAGATGAAAAGGAGTGGGGAGCAAAAGACAAGCAGAAAGTGGTAAAAAACATTTATACAAGCACTAATCCTGTTAAAATAAACCTCTTCAGAGTTTTCCATGACCTGTGTCAATATAACTTATCTATAATGAAATATAACAGGGGTCATAGTGAGTCTTGGAATAGGTACCAAAGCAAGGAAATCAAGACCCTGTCACAAATGTCAAGGAACAATTCAGTGTTCAACAACAGCGACAGTAGTTTGATTCATTCAAAGAAAACCTTGTAGCATGCCCAGAAGTAAAAATCCAAGTGTAACAAGAGTGCTTAATATATTTCTGTGTCTTGGAAACTGCAGAGATGATCCACCACGTTACAGGCAACACTTACAAACTAAGTGTGATGCTGAGGTTCCTGATACTCTGAGTGGTTTTCAGAGTGAAGTACACTTGAAAAATATATATTGTGACTATGAAGAAACTCCTAAGAGTGAGAGAGAAGAAAAGACTAATTTAAAAGGGTAATACCTCAAAAAGAACATATTAAAAACTCCAGACTTTGTGTCTGGCCTTATTTCCCCACTACATCTGGTAATGTACACAGTAGGTTTGCACACCTATGTTGAAAAGAAAGACTGCTCTTTTACAAGAATATAGTAAGAGGCAGTTCAGGGAAGTTTCACAGCACCAGGATGCCTGTGAAAGGTTAATTTTTTCTGACACAGGGTCACTCATATCAGTAGTTAAACAGTAATCTAGTAAATAACCACTACAAAATAATCTTATTCAAGTTATGCAATTTCCTTCTTAGAAAAGATTATACACTGCAAGCACCTTAATAAGGGAACTTAAAGGGGAAAAAATCCTCGCTCTTACCTTAATAAGAATGGTAATAAGATGATCTGTCCAAAAGCCTAGGAAACAAATGAGCACAAACACTGATTTGTATCTATTTGGACCTCAGCACCTTCCTCACTGGACAAGGAATGTTGGATGGGCTCAGAACAGCTGTAACCTTGGCCTGTAAGTACCCCAGAGAGCATGCTATGCTATGTTATCAAAATATAGTTAAAATATACTTATTTTGGAACACAAACCTGGCCTGAAATGCCTTCCCCTCCCCTCTCATATTCAGAGCAGGTATGGTGTAGAAGCTTATTATCATTTGGCTTATCCCACTATTAGCATCTCTTCTGTTACCATTCAGCCCCAGCTACCCTGCAGGAAACACTGAACCAGCTCCTGCTCTAAACGGAGACCGCTCGGAAAGCAGCAGAGACTCCATGGGAGCTGGAAACACCTTTGACTACCCAGGCACCTGATGTAGCAATACCAGCAGGCCCAGATCAGCCGCGCTGTATCCTGTTCTAAGAGCTCCGAAAGGGATTTCCAAATCGTGCTAGTGTGTGGCTTCATGCAAGCCCGAGACAAGGCCCACAAGCTTAGATCTATAGAGAAATAATTATATCACCACACATTGCAGAACCATTACAGCCCTGGGAAAAAGGTGTGGAAACAACCAAACAAACAAAAAGGAAAGCCAAGCATGAACTCCACTGCCTTAAGCCTCCTCACAAAAAATAAAAGAGAATCAGATGCACTCTGGGATCAGGACTCCTTTATGTCTGAGGGCGGCTTGCAGTCACTTTATCCCACACTTGCTCTCTCCCACAGTGACAACGCCAGCACTCCGAAGGTTTTCTTTTCCCACTGCCCTGTGCCCGCCTTAAGCCTCCTCACAAAAAATAAAAGAGAATCAGATGCACTCTGGGATCAGGACTCCTTTATGTCTGAGGGCGGCTTGCAGTCACTTTATCCCACACTTGCTCTCTCCCACAGTGACAACGCCAGCACTCCGAAGGTTTTCTTTTCCCACCGCCCCGTGCCCAGTTGGGAGGACG